GTGCGCTCCCCGCGTGGCCAGTTACTCCGCCTAGGCGAAGTCTCAGCACGGAGTATGGAATGGGAAGATCACTGCACTTGTTAATGGACTAGGGACCAGTAAACCATGACTCAAGCAGCTCCCGGCTCACGCGGTTGTCACCTCTTTCGAGAATTTCGGCCTCGTCGAATTTGTATGTGTGGCCGGATCTCGCCTCGTTGAATAACATACCTAACTTAGCCACTCGCTGGGTTAGGAAGGGGGAGAGCGCAAGCAGAGCTCGAAGCACGAACAGGCAAGCGAGTGCAGGTGGCGTGTTCACACTCCCCTCCCGTCGCAGTCACTTGCTGGATTAAGAGGATAGGGAGGACGCAAACACAACTGGAAGGCCACGGAGGTGACAGCGTGGTAGTTCGCAGTGCATTGCCACTGTGGTGGAACCGACGGAGTTCTACATCGTCTGAACAATTCCATTAGTAAGTCTACTTAGCCGCTCTCAGGATTGAGATAATAAGGCGAGCGCAAGCAGGGCTCGAAACACTCGCAGGGAATCGTGCGTGAACTGATGCCTTGAGTAACCGAGACTGGTGTATAAGCACTTCTTCCCTCCCCCCCCCCGCCAGTGGCACAGTCACTCGCTGGATTAACATTGTAGGGAAGATGCAAACACGTTATCTTTGTAAAATCAGCGTACTCGTGTCAACTTAAATTGTTTTAGAAAGCAAACGAATATGGTATCACTCCGGTGGGGTTGCAGGACCAAACCTCGCCCTAAAAACTTACAGAAAGATCTCGCATAAAAACTGCTCCCCAAATTTGGAAGTCCTGGAAACCAGCCAGCCTTCACAGCATTTTCGTCCGAATAATGGCCGTAACTCTATAAACTTTCGTTACTACCCACATTCTTCAGGATTCCATCACAGACAGTGATTCTCCCAGCGGAAGCATTTCTGCGTGTGAAAATTTGAAATTATATGTATAATAGTCAATTAAAATGTCAAATTTTTAGGATAGGTTTTACTAACTCAGATAAACTTTCAGACTGGAGCGTAACCTGGCTGAAGGGATGGGCACCATTGATCTATAGCCACGTCTTTGGTTCCGAAAAAGTATTCCGGCTGGATTTTACAGTCGTGGTAACGCCTTCGATGCACTGCGACCTAAATCATCAGTTTCAGTTTATTTAAGAGAAAAATAGGTGTTGAACCTTTGAACACCCTATTTGCTACAAGGAATGGTGGTAGTTTCGCTGGCTTTTACAATTGCTGACCTTCCTAGTACTCACCCATACACGAATAGGCCCCGCCAACGAACGTTTGCAAGCCTACCCCCCACTGTTCCTTGCTGGGACTGTAAAGAATTCAACTCTTTTTAGTGATGCTCCCCTACCGTTACAAAAGAAGTCTTGCGAGGCCACACCCGTAACTTCAGTCGTCACGGCAAGGACAAAAAATAATACCCTTCTGCGGTCGCATATGCAAAACATTCTCATCAGAGACTTAGTTCCCAGAGAGACAGTACCAATCTGTTGCTGTACTGAAGCTTCTATTTTAGTCTAGACAACAGCCCGACAAGACACCAGACGTCCCCTGCCGTTCGTGCTAAGAAAATTACCTCTTCTAAAGACAATCAAACGCGCACAGAGTCCTTCCCCTTGAGAAGTCGGTTGGCATCCAGTTCGGAAACGTCCGCATGCTCGAATTCATATCGAACTCGCTCAACCAATCATGGCATGCGTAGTGTCGACATGGCTACACACGGTAGAATTCCAAGGCCAACCTACGACCAATCATATGTCAACCCTGAAGCAGTTTCTTAATCGAATTACGACTCGCAGTTCGTTGCCAACAGGGTCGGTGAGACGGGCAGCCAATCACGTCTGCACACTAAAAAGATCGTGGAAACAGCAGATCAGTCGTGACAAAACGCGGCAACACAAGGTAGGTGTAGCTGGCTGGGCGGATAGCTTGATCTGAGTGTGATAAAATTTACGGGTCCTGGCGGGGCCTCGCGGTGGTCAGAGCGTTGGCTATACTTAAGCCTTGCCCTTGTTCTCATGGATTCGAATCCCACCGAGTTTTTCGCAGAGGGGCCAAATGAATTATTCAAGTCTGTCAAAAACACCAATTGAAGTGGAGATGAACGCCGGCGTAGACGGGGTCCGCAACTTCTTCATGGGACTGACACCTGCGATCCCACACAGGCCAACACTGGAGAGGTCTCACCATGCCCCCCCCCCCTAGCACGAGCACAATGCTTGTGGACACGAACGTGTCGGGAGACAACAGCGGTCGAGGTCGAGCCGCCTTCACCCTGCACAGGCCCACATCATAGCTGACGGTGGACCCGCGGCGAGCCGTCGCAAAACCCCGAAGTACCGCCTAGTTAGGGTGTACTGCCCCGCAGATGAGCGCCCTCGGACGCCCGAAACGCCAGACTGATTCAGTCTAGCCACCAGACCATCCTGGGGAGGACAGTGAAGTTGGCATTCCTAGGGTCCGCACAGTTAAGGTCCGATTCGCCTGCAGAGCACGATAGGCAGCATGGCCGTCGTGTGGCATCGCCAGTTGTCCAGCCTCCTGTCGCAGAGGCCGCAAAAAGTCACTTGACTCGGAGGAGCAGCGTTTCCCGGCCGAAAGCAACCTAAAGTTGACCACGACCGTCAGGACAGCAGAAAAGTAGCTGGAACATGTACTTCTGGGACGGACTGCAGGAAGTGCGAAACACGGTCGGAAATGTGCGTCGTCAGGCGGGGTCGGGCGGGTGACCTCCTGGATTCGAGCTATGCACTCAAACGACTGAAGCATAGCGGATGTGACTACCAGCTGCGAGGGCATTAAAAACGCACTTTTTACTCACAGAGCAAGCCTATACTCCAGTGAGGATATCCGGCGGAACTTCAAGTCGGTAGTTTGACCCCATCTTGCTGAGGTTCACATTTCCGTCACATGCCGCAGATTAAAAAATGGCCCAGTTTTTGACAAACGGCAGATGTAAACTTATTTCAAGCGATACCGGGGTGTGCTCCACAGTCCCACTATCCGACACGGCGAGCCGAAATGGTCGAGCTACGCCTCAGACGTCAAACGTTCGATTTCATTTTCCTTATAGGATTTTCGGACTAGTAAAATAGTAACAACCACCGTGGCATGGCGCGCTATAACGAAGTACCTGCCTATCCGCCATCCCCTTTAGGCCTGACGTGACATAGCCGTTCGTCGTGGAACCCCAGCTGACCACATCCAGATTCGCCTTCAGGTAGGCATAACACACGACGAGGAACATCTGAATTAGTAAATTGCGTGCTATCAAATAGCCGAACTCGCGACAGTATACGGTGGAGCCCGGGGCACGCAATCGGATAGAGTACCTCAAAATTCCCCCCTCCCCCCGGGAAGACACCTTCCCTCCAGGCTTTGTGGGTAATCTCTCGAGGACCCCAAAGGACTGACAAGTCGCGCGGCCGAAAATAGATTTTGCGGGTACCTTGCCAACGGCTGAATCTCTGACCAAAGGTAGCCAAGGCTCTCAACCAACGCAAATTCCCCACCATCTACTATCACATGCGAGGGCAGAGTGCCTTCAAGGGGTCGAACGTCCCTTCCCCAACTAGCGTTTTGCCCCCGGCTCAACCTAGGCCTCCATCTCGGTCTCAAATAATTTCGACGAGCCGTTGCAGGTTAAAGAAGGGAAGAGGCATTTGCATGACCCCTCAGCCATCCTGGAAAAACAAAGTCAAGACGACTTGGGCTGGAATTAGGGCAAACGGCCCGTCAACGCGTGTCGGACAACACCTCGTCTCCTACGGGCTGCGGAAAGCACGGGCGAAATGGCCCCCAACCAGGCTGCAAAGGCGTAATGCTGAGGATCTAACCCGGGGCCGACTGTATGCGACAGGAACGCTTCACCGCAGAGCTATATCCTCGTATGCCGGCCCGTAGACATGCTGATAGACACACATGAGAGAAGAGGGCTAGACATATCCTGACTGTTCATGTTGATCAAAATAAGTACGACCAACAAAAGTGCCTGATCTATAGTACAATACAGTGCATAAGCATGCTCTATCTCACTGAACAAACAGCCAAAACGCATGAGGACTGTAGTCTCGAGCGGGAGCAGAAGGGTTGCAGCATACGGGGACAGGGGGCGGGGGCCCGCATTATCGACGTAAGGCAGTGCGTAAATCAAGCATGCTCGGCTGAAAAAAGAAACATTGAAAAAGGAGAAAAACACAAACATTAGCCTAGAACAGGTCCAGGTTAAGGCGGGTGTGTGTGTGTGTGAGGGTAAGGGGGGTGGGCAGCACACTGCTTGCTAGCGGAGGAATCTATCATCAGTAGACAACAATTTTGGGGCAAAGATTTTCGCGTCTACCCCTGTATGCGTGTGTATGTGTGCGGTAGTGAGGGCAGCGAATAGCAGAGTTCATCAGTGAAAGCCCACCGGACGCCATCGTTTCCAGAGTGATTTTAAAAAGTGCGGTTGGTGTATGTATAGGTTGGTATACAAACGAGCTAACACCCCTGTTGCAAGGTAGTATATAGAGATTGCCGTGAAGCACGCGGTTGGGGATTAGGAGACACGGAGCGGAAAGTGTGAAAAAGACTGGAGAAAGTATGTGTTCTTTTTTATCCGGCGGAAACCGACGACAGTGTCGGGAAAAAGAGGGGAGGAAGTACTGTGGGACTGGTAGGTTTGATGCTTGTAAAACGAAAACCACGGGAAGAAAAAACAGAATAAAGACAATTACTTAACGGTAGAGGTGTTGGGTGTAGCTTAGGGGAACGCGATTGAAAAAGCATCGGGAGCGCTTGGCGATGGACACACGAGTGTGGCAGTTTGTATGTATATATAACATGCGCTAGAGAAACAGGTGTGGTGAGGGTGGAAAGGCGAGCCAAATGAAGACAAACCAACATGAAAGACGAAGCAGGAGAGCCACATTTTCCCTTCTCTCGTCCCCTCACGAGCAAGGCCGCTGCTCGAAGATGTGGTCAGAGTAGGTAAAAAAACAGCAGCTACTGCTCATCGAGAAGGTTGCTCGCTCCAGCTGAACTAGCCTGGGCATTGGCGGACATCATGCAGGAAGAGGAGCCACTGGTCCCACTGTTCATTGGCCGAGGAGGCGGCGGGTACTGCGAATGGACAGACGGTTGAGACGGAAGCATCCAACTGCCACTACCACCGGCGTTGGACACTACGGCGCCCGGCAATTGGCCAGCCCCGCTCGCGGTGGGTGCAGCCGGCGGCCAGAGTCCCGTGTTGGCCAGCGCAGCGACGGCAACGGCAGCGTTTGCCATCAGAGACTGTTGCTGGGCCTGATTAGATCCGCCCGGATTTGCCAGTCCGCTATCTACACAAAGAAGATGCAGCTTGCCTTCAGAACAACAAATGAAATCTTGTCTGAACAGGGTTTAGATAGTAAGCAGAAAAGGAAACTTCAGCGCTACGATAAATGATGGTTAAAAAGGTCTTAACTGACCTCATAAAACTTCCTATGGTTACTTCGATCTACGATATTCCCTGTGTGAGTAGGTGCACTACTCAACTCGGCGCCCAAAGTGCAAATAAATAATCACGAGAGGGCGATGTAGGGGATCGCAACGGTCAGCATGACGACCAGAGTTTGCAACTGCGTCTCAAGAAATTCCTATCGGCCCCTTGTACTTTATACGGCTGCCATCATGCCTGATCTAGCCGGCCTCGATGATGTCAAGAACTGTACCTCTCCACGCGTGACGATCAGTCAGTCGGTGTCCGGGTGCAAACTTGACGCCGTCACCCTCGTGTAGGGCCCTCCCGAGGATCCAGTCAATAGCACAGTTGAACAGAATGGGTGACAGGATAGAACCCTGTCGAACGCCAAACTGAATACCGAACGGGTGGGAAAGATTGTTGCGAGCCAGGACTCCCGCAGTAGTGGAGCGATACTAGGCCTAGATCATGGCGATTATTTTTGCCGGCACACCATCTAACGCCATTATCCGCCACAGGGACTCACGATGAACGGAATCGAACGCGGCGGCAAAATCAATAAAGCAGACGACCGTCGGTTGCTGGTAGCTATGGCGAAATTCGAGAATGCGCCTGTGTGAATATCTGGTTTGCGCATCCACTATCGGCCCTGCACAGATATTGCAGAAATACAGTTTAAGAAACGGACCGCCACACTGACGAACTCGTGATGCAGCATTCTAAAAGGTGTGTTCACCCAGGGGAGTGAAGAAGGCAATAATTTCACGGGAAGCGGAGCGCAGACGCCTCCCAATCGTTCCTTGTGAGCCACTGGCCTAACAAAAGATGACAGTAGTCGCTCGAGTGATAAAATTCGACCCAGGGAAATCGGACAGAAGACGGCCAGAAAAAAAGTGCGAGATGACGGCTTACCGCCTCAACAGACCTTGCCACGACTATCTGGAATCAGAGACGTGACGCGAACAATATAGACGGAAACAGCACCTCTCCGCACCCCTCATTCTCGTTACAGACTTCGCTTACTCGGGCGACCAGGAGGCAGCAACTACGAAATCAACTGCACGCACGCTACCCCTTAACCACCGACTACACTTTCACCCTGGAAGTACCAACAGCCGTTGCCGATCAGATATGAGTTAGCTGAGACCTTGCCGTGATCTGCTGATTATTGCCGGAGCCTGGAAAGGCGCAGTGAGGACATGGCGACCCATTATACAGTCACCTTGTTGACCACGTTGAGTTTGGCTCTAGTTGTGCAATGGCATGCATCAGTAAACTGCCCTTGCGTATACCAAAAAAATCGACTGCTGAACTAGATCCACCCAGGCTCTAAACACCCGGATCAGTGGTTTCCAGGCCAGTAGCGGTAACAATGGCAGCCTGTTCTCCGTCAGCATAGTGTTAGGAATAGGTTCGTCGGAACATGCCGTAATGACTACCAAAAAGGGGAAAACAATCAGACAAAGACCCTTCTGCCCGATTGGGAGGGGATGGGGGGAGGGGAGAGACGAACTACTCCACTAATAAAGAGGGAATTGACGAGTCGAAAAGCAGTGTCCAGAGTGATCACTTACTAACGCCCTGGGACCAGAGGGCAGGATGGTGAAGGGGCCAGTTGGCATGGCCACCAGCAGAGGAGCCAGATACGCGAGCGGAGCCCTGTGACTGCAGTTGTTGCTGCATCAAGTTCATGGTAAATGCCATCAACATGGGATTGGTGGCCGCATTGGCCGGACTAGGATTCAGCGGATTTCCAGCAAAGGTGGGTGTCTGCTGTTGCGGTTGCGAGTACAGACCGTTTACCGAAGAGGTGCCCTGCAGGTCCGAGGAGGTAGTGCTACCGCCGGTAGCGGCAACAGTGCTCACGGCCGAGGCAGCCGCCTGTCGTCTACGCTCTGCTCCAATCGGAGCTGGTGGCTGTGAGGACTGGTGCGGCCCCGAGGCAACCACAGAGGTTGGTGCAACTGCCGCGGCCGTATTTTGGAAGGTGTGCCCAGTTGGACCCCCTGGGGAATTTAAAGAAGAGGTTTTACTTTGTGAAAAGGAGCTACAGTCGTGAAGTTTTCGGGTCGCAAGGACGAAATATAAGTAGAAAATGAGGTGGGGGAAGGGAGAACAGTCAGGTGGTGATGTCCCAAGGTCCTGAGCAAACCGGTAACTACCCGCCTAAATGCAACATGATGCATGACGTCAATGTACAACAGAAAGAAAAGAGGGGACAAGGACAAATGATTGCGACAAAAATTAGATCCTCACCAGGGAATTAATGTTTCGGGGGATAGGTTAATTGCGAAAAACTCGGCGGTCCCTGTGGGATTTAAACCCACGATAGCAAGGGCAAGACCTAAGTACAGCCTGAACTAACTGCCTGATCCACGGGGCCAAACGGGAGCCCTTAGCTTAATCACATCTAGGTCAAGTTACACGCGTAGCCTACTGCAACTTTTGGAATCCGCCGGAATTCCTGAGCAATCAATCTGAAATCGACCATATGCCTGTCGAGGTCATTTACTTAACGTGTGATTAGGTAGTATTTTTAGACTGGGCGGGTACCTTTATCCAAATGTGATTAAACTCCCGGCCCCCCGTGAGGCCTCGGTAGCTCAGGTGGCTGTCGTGGATTCGAATCCCACCGAGTTTTTCACAATTGAGTCAAAATGAATTATTCATAATCTGCCAAAACACCTATCAATTGTTAAACAGCAGCAGCCTTTCAGAAGGATGGAAGCGCTTGTCGGGAAACCCTGGACTATCACTTGAAGTCCTGTTTTAAAACAGGCCCCGTAAGTCTTCTCACGTTGGCGTTCGCACTACCGATACACAGGATATATTCTGCAGTTAATACATATATAGTGGCGTAAGAATCTCCAGCCGGAAAAAAGAACGTGCGCGTTAAGTAACATGTTTGGTGCTTCTGCGGTCGAGTGGTTACTACCGGAAAGATCAATAAAACCTCACGCCTTACAAAGAAGTTCGTCTTCCCAAACCCTTCTATCCGAAGGGCCAGCGTGGTTTAATGATAAACATTCGTTGATTTGCTTCATTTCCTCAAAAACACATAAATATGCGTACGGTGTGGCATCCACAGACTCGTCGCTTGCGATTAAAGTGAATACCAGCTGCTCTGGATGCATACCGCAGCCTTTACAGAAACGTGTCGAGAAGTCTCCACGTGCCTTCTGAAAACGAACGTAACAGGCATTTAAAGATATAAGGGCATGTCATATTTCAGAAAATGATAGACTGGGCCTTCTAGCGACTAGAGTTCTAGGAAGTTAAACATAACAACTTTGAGAAAGACGTGCCGTAATGCTAATTCATGGAAAGAGCAGAAGTTTTTCTACGAAGGTGCAAAAAAACCAGTCGTAAAGTATTTGTTGAATAAAAGAATTGGTTTGAAGCCGCTAAAAATATTTGCTGGGTACCTAGCAGCACAAATTCAAAGGCCCGCCCAGACGAAAGCAGCCTTGCAAACAGCTGACGTAGGGCAAGAATGAAACCCAGAAAAAAACCTTACTAAACATCTTCCACACGCCCTTCGATGCCCTGAAGAAAAAGTTGACAAGATCGGAATGCGTAGAAAGGTATAGACGTGTTACCCAGCCCATAAGAAAATCAGATATGCATCGTTAGAGGCCCCTTAGTCAGCAGATAGAGGGACTCTGAGACGTCCGAGTTTCAGCTCAGACACTACGGCGACATGCCTCTTCAAGCGTAGCCGAAAAGCGGACTAGCAGGGCAAAAATGTAACAGCATAGCAACCACTGACGAGACTCATATACCTGGATACATGTGTCCAATGTAGCACCCGGCGCCCTGCTGATCGCCAGATGCCGTTCCCGCCGCATGATTCGACTGATTCATGCCAGGAGCAGCGAATGGTTGGTGCAGGAAGGAATTTGAATTGGCAGTGACCGGGGTCTGCTGCTGCTGCTGCAACTGCTGTTTGGGATGCATGCCTAGCGGCATTTGACCCGGAGGCACAAGATGCGTCAAATGATGTGGAGGGACGGCGCCAGCGGTTCCGCCAAGATTGCTCAACTGGGAAGAGGAGGCATGATGCATCCGAGAGGATGGTAGTTGTGTAGACAGACCCGTATGCAGGGACGGCGAAAGGTTCGAATGAAATGCAGAGTTGTGGGTGCCGTTGAAGAGGGCAGCAGCATAGTCGGCGGTGGTGACATGAGAGCGAGGCTGGAAGAGCGAGCCGGAGGCCGAATTCAGCGTGTTAGGACGGTTTGGCGGGAGTGTAAAACCGGGAAGAGGTGAGCCACAGGAAGGCAGGACTTCAGACACCGGAGAGACACCATTAACTTTGGCGGAGGCATTATGCGCCAACCGGTAGCTCGACTGAATGTGCGGCGGAAACATTTCGGCGGACAGGGCCTCAGCTGGAGGCAGTGGGGTGTCGTAACCCCGCCCCTGGAACAGCATGTAGTTTTGAGATGAAGACTGAGTCGGATTTTGCGAACTGGAACCAGCGTATAGGCTCTTTGACAGGAGGCCCTCGGCACTAGGCGAATACTCATAGCCGCTCTGTTGGAAAGTCGCACTAAGATCGCCTGGTGCCTGTGACCCGGTCCACATCGCAGCAGAAGACATGGGCGGTTGATTCAAGAACTGTCCATTAACAGCCCGCTGTTGTGCAAACAAGGCGTCTAAATTAGAACGAGCAGCGCTCGGGGCAAACTGGTTTAGGGCTGCCGAAGACGGATCAGCGTCAACCCTCGCAGCGTTGGCTCCGACCGCAGACGAGAACTGTGATTCGCCACTCACAGCGCCTTCGGGAGTGGGCTGGGAGATGTCGCCCTTACCGCGTGAAGAGTTGATTGGTGCGGTGACAGATGTCGAGTGCCAGGTAGTGCTAATACCCGAGGTCGAGGTCGTGCCCGTCTGGTAGACTGTGCTCGAGGAAGCAACGCTGCTGGCAGTGTTGCTGCTCTGAGGTTGGGCGACGCGCTTTGTAGGCGTGACCACTACACCACCGGGATCACTCAAACAGGAGACTAGGGACGGCGCTAAGGTTGGGAGACCAGTAACTGCCGAGAGAGAAGCCGAGGGAGCATTGCTGCTGGCAGCTGAGGTAGCGTTCCTGTGCGCGCTTCGTTCAGAGCCCGGTGCACGCGCAAACGGTCGCGACGAGGAGGAGGTGGGCGTATCTATCGAATTTATTCGGGAGGTGGTCGGTTTCGTATACATCAGCACCGCATCAGTGGATGTCTTTAAGGCGGATGAGGTGGGGATGGCAGCGACGGCGGCCGTGCCAACGGCTGCTGAGCCAACGGCGACACCGGACTGCATTGAGGGTTGCCGATTGCGTTGAAACTGCAGAGCGTGATCCGGCTCCTGTCCCATCGTTGGTCCCCCACCGGGAGCGGATGACGTGACTGTGAAGACCAGAGGCTGAGTCATTTGCTGTTGCTGCTGCTGTTGCAACAGTAAATCGTTCTTCGAGGTCGGAAGTAAGTTGCTCTGCTCGTAGGAGGGCGTGAGCACCTGGTCACTTTCAAACGATACCGTCGCTGTTGTTACAGCCTTCGTGAGAGTGGAAGTAGAAAGCGGGGGGAAACTCTGTTCGTCAAGAAGAGGCTGTTGGGACATGGAATCCGAGGGAGGAGTGTTTAGGGTGGAGGTGTTTAGGTGTGTTGACGCAGAAATAGACCACAGGGATACGGGCGCGTGCACTGGGCCTGCTGCCGGGGCAGTCGGTGCGACGGAGGACACAGCGGTAGCGGAGGTGGAGGCCGCCGACCCCTTGTTGTTCTTAGACTTCGCAGATGTGGCCTCCTTCGGTTGGGAGGAGACAACGCCAGCGGCAGCCACGGCGGCAAAGTTGCCTTTCTGGCCAGCGGCAACCGGTTGCTTCACACTCCACGAACTGCCAACAGTAGTTTTGCCCGAAGTTAACGTCAAGCCCGAACTGGTGTTGTTATTGTTAGTGTTGGGGGAGGGTTTCATGGTTGCACACAGCGGCATTATCACCGAGGAGGCTGTCAACTTGGTGGCTAACAGCGGTTGCGGTGCGGCCGCAGTGCGGGAGCCGGTGGATGCACTGGACGCTGTTTTGGTACTTGATGCGGCGGAGGGTTTACGGGTGGAAGACTTGCCGCCCAGACGTGTTGTCGAGGCGCCCGTGGAGGAGGACTGCGTAGAGGACTTCTTCATGGACGCATACTTCGCGATCACATCGTTGCCTGCAACAGCCCCACTCAACAAGTCCTGAATGGTGTCGTAGGTGCGCTGGACAATTTCTGAGGGCCCCTTCAAGTAGACCATTCGCTCAGTCACTTCCTCTCCCCGAGCAGATTCAATGTCAATCTGAATGCCAGACATGTTGCGGAGGGCGCTGACAACGGCACCGCCCTGACCAATTATCTTGCCAATATCGTGCTTTGAGACAGGAATGGCCAGTTTGCGCTTGGACAAATTACCGCCAGTGGAGGTCTTCCAGTCGGTGGAGTCCTGCACCGTCCCCGTGTTGGAGGCGGGGACATTGGCTGAACGGTGACTCCGACTACTACTGGCTGGTTGAACAACGAACCAGGAGCTGGAGTCGTTGGAGTGGTGCGGCGGGGAGTCGAATACGCTCTCCCATCCCTTGTCATCGCCCACAGGAATGTCCGCGTAGAAACCGCTGTCGTAAAAGACTGAACGTTGAGCAGTAGAGGTTGACAGCGACGCGACCTCAGTAGCTTGCTGCTGCGATTGCTGCTGATGGTGGGAATCAGCAGTGTTCTCGGATCGTTTGTGAGCTCTCTGACTCTGCTTCTTGTTGCGATGCTTTTCGCGTTTGGCCTCTGTGACGGCGGCCGCGGCAGCAGCAGCTGTTGCTTCGGCTTGGAGAGTCAGCTCAGTCGCAGAGGTTAGGGCGGGTGCTGCAGCAGGTTCGGCCGACGAGGTTGCGCTGACAGGGGCCTCTTTCCGAGAGCGCCTGGAGACGGTGGAAGAGGAGTCCTGGGACACGGACGCCCCCTTCGTCTCCGGTTCCCTTCGTTGAGAGCCGGTTGCCTCCAAATCGGTTAGGAAATTGTGCACGTGGGCAGAATCACTGGCGGCCAAGCCGGCTGTGATGGTTTGGGCGGCCGACCGCACTATGTTCGCAAGTGACGTAGGCGGCGCTTCACCCCTAAAAAAGACAACAACAGGCATAAGAATCACACGAAGGGGGCGAAAGCAAAACTGCATTGATGTAGGGAAGGAGTAGACGAGGTACCAACCTGTTGACGTCCTTAGATTCTTCTTTCGACTCAGCTACTCGGGACTTTTCCGCGTCCGCGGGCTCCTCGGATTCTACCGGTGTCCGTTCCACAGATGCGGCATTCTCCTCGGAAACGGCCTCTTCGGTACCCTTGTCCTTTTTCTCTTTCTCCAGCTTCGCCTTCCGTTTGTTCCTTTTGCGTTCTCGCTTACGTGCCTGCATGGCCTCCTTGTTGGCCCGCTCTTCCTCCTCCTGCTCAATCTGCTCTAGTAGGAAGTCGGCGTTCTTCCTCGCTTCGCCCTCCTGCTTCTCCTTAGCGGCAGCGATCACCTTGCGACACTGTTGGCAACGATCAGCCAACTCCTGGAGGGTAAACAAAAGGCAAGGCAATCAACAATAATTCCACGGAGAAAACGGGATCCACCGTAAGTCTAATTAGGGCGCTCAGAGGTGGCGGATAGTCAGACTGGCTTCAATGAAGGTTTGTAGCAAAATCAGTGGGCCTTCGGATCTGACGAACAAGCTCGGTTATACATAAAAAGGTCGGAGGTTATAAGGGTGCCACGGTACGACGATTGTAGCACGCCATTGCGGTTACGGTGGCCGCTGCCCGACCGAAGCCTCGGCTAGGTAGAGACGCCTAGCCTCGAATACAGGAACTGCAGGAAGCAATCCTTCAAGTGGCTTCGTAGGATCCCCGAGAGGTGTCTCGAAACACTCAGGAGCGATGGTTCGCGTACTCTGGTTGGATTCCGCGGAGGCCAATGGCACCAAAAGAAGCGTTTTCTAGTATAGCAGATCTTTCGACCTGAAATGCGTTCGACAGTCGCAAGCGACGACGCCTACCAAGTGCTTCGCAGAGTGAACTCAGCATTCGTGATTTGCGCGTGCATTGGTTCATAGTGGAGCAACATCTGCCGCACTCTGCCCTCTCCCTCGTTCACTTTGCTTCGACGGCAGAACAATGTGAAGACGACCGGAAGTGGACACGAGCGCAATGGCGGACAACGTTAAACAGCCTATCTCTACGCGTGCTCGGATTCCACGTGTGCAGGAGTGCCAACATAGAGGGGCCACGTCAAGGAGCCGTAACAGCCTGATTTGTGGTTTCGAGAAAGACCGAGGTATCCCATCAGCCGGCAACCTACCACGCCGCGCCCCGCCCCATATAGCGTATCGTGATAAATTCAAGCCCGTTTGATTTATTTTGCTGAGTGGACTGATGTGTGTGTGTGTGAGGGGGGATTCCCAGTATCGGCTTCACTCTTTTTCCTCATCCATGCACCTGTAAACTGCCCGTGCCCGTAAATCGGCTGTTAATGGGATTGGGCGCGGCGCAAAAACCTATCTCTAAAGCACGCTACACGCATTCACGGCAGCAGTTATGAGCTCCGGTGGAGTCTGCACAGTCCGATAAGTCGGTGGCGTGGACCACTCCGTTAGCTGTTTTGGTCCTGCTCATCCGCAGTGCGGCCCATCGTAGGGGGAGGCAATTTTCAGCTCAGTCCGTCCCACAACTTGCTTCTGACTCAAATTTCGATAGTTTTGCCCAGATCTAACTGGCTTTAAAAACAACGTTTGCTCGCGATAATAATCAGGACACTCAAGGCATTCAACGCTCGCTAAATAACCTTCTTCAATTGATCCCTTGGTAGCGGTAAGGTGCAGGACCCCACGTGTACACTAAAATGCACACTAAAGTGTACATGTACACTAAAATTCAGTGACTGTAAACACCACTTACTGTTCACCGTCCCCATTGGTTGAAATTTCCTTACCTTCCCGACCAAATGCAAACTTGTCAGCGACGGTACAGGACCCGACGTAGCTGGCGATTCCTACATGTACACTAAAATTCAGTGTGAGTGTAAACACTTATTGTTCACCGTCCCCATTGGTTGAAATTTCCTTACCTTCCCGACCAAATGCAAACTTGTCAGCGACAGTTTATCCAAAATTCGTTATTTTTTGAAAGTTACTTTTCGTATATTCCGTAATTACCGCGCTCATTTTTTCTTGCCACATGACAGCGTGCGATAGGATGCTCGGCAGAACTTTACTTATTTTCTCTGTCTTCTTGCATTCCACCTACTCTCCGCCCTGCGTGTTGCCCCACCCGTAAAACCCCCTCTACCACAATTCAACGCATGACACGGTCCACAGGTTAGCTCAAGTTAGTTTAGGTCCCACACCCAACCGTTGTAGATCCTTTGACTGGTGAATTCGACTGCTGCAATATACACGCCCGAATAACAGTCCTTATATGTTTAAGGGGACGAAGATAGATCATTGTTTCAATCCTATTGCTTCTTATACACTGTTGTTTTTTGGGCCGCATGGATACAAAAGTCGTCTTGGTGAGGTATCATAGGTCCATAAAAGGCACTTGTGGTGCGGGAAGCGTCAGAATGTGAGGCGCGCACGCTTCCACTTTTTCCCAGATACTGCTCTTTTCGTCTGAAATGTCTAACTCCTCCTCAGTCCCCGTATTGCTCTAAATTCCCGGGGGGAGACACCTATTCCCATGGCCTAACCCTAGCCTCCCTTGCAATTTAGCGAAAAGTCACCTGTAAAACGGGCGATACCGATTCACGGGTCCTATCTTAAAATGTAAAAAAGATTTACGGCGACCACTTCGCCTGAGAATTTAAACACAGGAAGTGTTTGTGATATAAATTGAACTTTTAAGTTTTGGTTCACCCAAGGAATTCTACGCTTGCTGAAATAGCCTCCTTCAGTTGGTCCCTTGATTTGCCATTTTCGACGTTGTAATATATACGATTGGATAACAGTCCTCGGATGGGTTAAGAGTGAGGCTCGGAGATGGCCAGGCCATTGTTCCAATTTGCTTGCTCCCTTGTCACCGTTTCGTATATGACAGCGGCCTTGTTGAAGCACCACAGGTCCCTCGTTGTATTGACCCATAAAGGATGGCACTAGTGCGAAAGTGTCTGTACGCATGACTGAGCATAAATTCCAACTGCTTGCGCGAAAAAGGCTTTCCAAGCCATCTCACACGACCGTCTCCACACCATCGTCTACCGCAGAAAACCGGTTTCCTGCGCAGATCATGCAAGTTACAAGTCCAACAGTCCAGAAGACCAAAGGTGAATATCCTTTCATCAGAGAAAACCCCCCTGGTGCCACTGATCTGTCCAGACAATGTGATCCTCAGTCTAAGACGTTTGTCATTCTTTGCGGTTCTTTGTCAACAGCGGTATTCGTCGAAACTTCCAATAAGCGAATAGCGAGGAACTCTTTGTGAACCTGTTCTTCAGAGTCTTTAAAAACGCCAGCGCCAAATTTCACTGGATGGCGCACACGGTACAACCCGCAAATACCTCAGGCAGTAGTGCTCCTCCTCCTCCTCCGGGTTCGTTTTTAGACTTACAATACTTTCACTAGCTACAATGTAGTCAGCACAGTTTCCGATCTCTTCAGGCGTACTCCGATCCACTGCACACAATGCTAAAATCTCGTTCGCTCAAAATCCGTCAGTTGTACTCCTGCTGGGCTGTTAGGGCTGAAGTTAGTCGATTTTGGGGGCAAATCAAGTTGTGTGTGCCATTCACCAGGTCACTGTTGACGACCACTTCAACCTGAACAGAACGTAGCAATCACAGTGCATCACAGTCGGCAGCCTCATAATCGTAAGACAGCAATCTTTTGGCCATTCTTGATTATGTCAAACCATTTGTGTGCTAAGACATTTCGTACTAACAGCCTTCCCTTTTTACTAGTGCAAAAAACTGGATAGATGTGCGCAAACATGTCGAAGTTTTAGCTAAGTGGCAGGCGTCCTAATAAGTATGAGAAAGGCTACCGACTAACACGAAGCGCTGAGGTAGTTTCATACCAAATAACAACAGCTAGAGACGCCTAACACAGTGGATTGACAAGTCAGCCACGTCAGTTGCAGACAGGGGGGGTAATCCACTCACACCACGGAGGCAGGTATGGCCCGCAAATAACTGGCGTGTCTTAGTTGCTAGTAGGGCGACAATTCACCCTGTCCGAAAGTGATGACTGACAAGACGGCGGACTAGAGATGGAGGAACTGCGTATGACCTCAGTGACTACCGGAAACCCTTCGTCATCCACTGTCGGCGAATTAAGTTCTGCACGGCGAGACATAAGAGAATGCAGGGAAATGAGAGGACAGCAAAACCGTCAAATGGCAATCGGTAAGATAAGTCCGCAAGGACTAGTGCGCGTTGAAGTAGACCTCCGATGGGCCGGTCCCACAAGTCAGCAACGACCCTTGTCTGGAGTCGTATGTCCACAGTATCGAGTGATGTGATTGACCACTTACCGACAACTTGGTCAACATTGAACGCTTTGTCGACTTTTGAGATCACCTATGTATGCCTTCATCTAGCCTTGGAAATAGTGTCTTGTTGGTTTCCAAACACCCTTTACCTGAAAAAAACCGCTATGAAACAGCAAGGCGTCCGAGGCGGACCTCCGCTCTCCCAGATTTCGATGGGAATTACGGTGGCAACTACCTGCCGAAACTGCTGCCACGACCAAAACCGACTTAAAAAGCTTAAATATGGTCTTCGTTATCGAACACAACAACCTCCTGCGGACGTTAGATATTTTATGGGGGATTAAGACAGGCATGTGTCCTGTCGTCTACTCCAATTGGCAACATACAGTGAGTGACCGATCTCATGAAATGTTGGCTGAGATTTTGAAATGCGTTTTCGATTAGGAAGGATTACTTAGGTGCGGTTGTAGTACTGATTCCCTTGCGACATAATCCTGTGATATTTCGGACTCCGCAGGATGTCAGCTTCTGAATACACTGCTTGTCAATCTCCTGTAGAAACCGTACTCGGTAAAAAATGACTGCTAAAGTAGCATGCATTTTTCCAATTGATTTTCGATGGTCTTGCAAGTTTAAATATATTTTATAGAAACCACGAGGAAAAATATGCTTTCTTTCAGTCGTTTGATAGAGAATTGCGTTTTTTTCGTACTTTATACTCGAAGGGGTATAATTAGGTTTTAAAAAGGTTTCCAATCATGAGATTTTTAAAGACCGCGCAATGTCCATTCATTTTGCATCGTACCTGTCCATTTACCATTGCTCCTCATGAAATGTGCGACATAGTCCGCATCCAATACAAAATTTTATGGAATATATAGGGAATCTGTTTAAAGGCATAGAAAAATAGGTGATTTCCTTTACGCTGAACACATGCACCTCGTAGACTGAAATTAATAAGCGCTAATACAATGACCGATCAGGCTCTAAATTATTTGGGAATTAGAAAACTCTTTTAAAACCTAGTTCTACTCCTTCTTCGAGTACCAAATATAAAGAAAACGTAAGTCTCTACCAAATGACTGAAAGAAAGCATATTCTTCCTCGTGGTTTCTGTAAAATGTATTTAAACTTGCAAGGCCATCGAAAACCAATGGGAAAATGCATGCTACTGAAGCAGTCATTTCTTTACCGAGTACGGTTTATACAGGAGATCGACAAGAAGTGTATTCAAAAGCTGACGTCCTGCCGAGTCCGAAATATCATATGATTATGTCGCAAGGAAATCGGTATTATAACCGCGACGTTGTAGCCCATCCCAATCGAAAACGCATTCCAGAATTTCAGCCAACATTTCATGAGATCGGTCAGTCACTGTAACTAGCCGGATACGCGGAAGAACTCCATGTAGTCCCGAAGAATTCGAACTTTGTTCCAGATGCCGCCAGACCGGGACAACTGAGACGGCGGTATCGCTCTGCTAGGGTTCGCAGCAAGCAATAAAAACAAGAAACGGCCGCATGCAATCACGAAGGTTTAAAAAACCTCACTGGTGTTTGTAGACTCAATGAAGTCGCCGTGTGACAGGCTGGTGGAACGCTATGTGCGCAGGGCCTGGGGCGGCAAACGATCCATGGACAAGGTCACATGCTTAAAGGAGCTAGCTATGTAAGAGCTGATTGCAAACACGGCTGCCGCCGTGCGTGTGAAAAGTGGGGACATGACGGTGTAAGCTAGCAGAGCGTAAAACCACCCAGAGCACTGCAGTCAGCACGCAGAGAGCACTGTGCGCTGAAGGCAGAAGTTATGCACGTCACCGTGTACGGTCGAGACGCGCTGTACTTAGGAGGTGTGAAGCCCTGGAGAAAAAACTGCATTCACCAAGTTCAGAGCAGAAGACAACAGGAGTTTTATGTGAACGAGCATTGGCGTAAATAACAAACTCCGGCAAAACAAGACTGACTGGCGCCCGCACGAGTGAGACTATTATCATGATAAATTATTGCAACAGAGAAGCGCAAGGGGAGAGGGCGAGGAATCTTCTGGTTTAGTTATTGCTGTCAGTCAATTATAACCTAGTTTTGGAAATAGCGACCCAACAGGACCCAATCGGTGCCGACAGCCGTAGTCACAAAGGTGACAGAACGCGGATCGGAGACAGAGGGGTTGAATTTGGCCTACTTCCAGGCAACTGACTGGGCTTAAAATCTCAGGTCCTTCTGATCTGACATTGGCTGAGGACGGCTAGTGCGCGCAAAACAGTCAGTACAGGTCTACTGAAACAAGTGCCCCAACAAAATATGCCTCAGGGGTGTGAGCGTCGGAAAAGTGAATTCGAAGAGAACAAGCAGGGCGGCTCACGAGAAGTGAGTTAGGGTAAGTAAGTCACGGGTCAAACCAGCACGACGAGCAAGGCTCATCGGTCATTTGACAAGAGTTCAGACGCCAGATGCAGTAAGGTTTAAAAAGCAGGCAGCGGACTGGACTATGAGTCACCATGCCATCGGGCGTATAAGTGAGGTAGTTTTTGAGGTAGTATTGCCGAACCCCCACCACATCGTCTGACAAAGGCGGATGGTATTCTTGGGGAAAAAAGTCATGTCGGCCACTGTGCATGCTCTTCGGTCAACATGACTCAGCCGCGCCACTGGTGTATGCTGGGGGCGAGGAGGGGAGTGGGGTTGGTTCAACGGAGATTTAGCGTGAAAAGGCCTGACGAGTTGAAGGTCATGGCTTGAGAGGCTGCACACTGATGGGTTCACTGGATCCCACTCTACTCAACGCGAAACCCGACACAAGCAAAGGCTGGTTTGGCTTCGCTGGCCTCTGCGTCCGCGCTTTGGAACATGGCGAGTGGGCGGAGGAGTGGACCAGTCTTCGCCATGATAACCCAGTACACAGGCAAGTCACTGATACCTCGCTGAGTGCGATGGATGGCGAGGTGCTGACTGTCAGAAGCCTAATGCGTAGACTTAATGGAGGACGTTGTGGTCCACAGACAGTCAACTAGATACTGGCTCAAAGAGTCGCCTATCTGATCTTAACCCGGCAGCGTTAATGTGGCAGGGATAATGTGTAGGCGACCGCCCCTCCGATCGCTGAAGTTTGCAGAGTAGAAAAAGACAGGTGATCATGCGGCCATGACGACACAACGCAATACACCACTAACATTTGAATGAGACTGTACTTGTGGGTGCAACCATGCCTAACTTGGCCGGTCTCGAAGAGATCGTGGACCGTATCCCTCAACACGTAGTGATCTGCGGCATCGGGCCTAGAGAGCGCAGCTCACTCTCTTCTTCAGCCACGGGGACTGAATACGAAAAGTTCAAGAAGCGGACTGCGTCGAGTCTGGTGACCACCAGTTCGCTGTCCTTAGACGAGGCAGCAGCGGTGGGCGAAGAAGACATCCAAACTGTCTCAGTTGTCATCCCTAGACGGTCAGACATATCCACATGGTGCTGTTGAAGTGGATTCGGACTGTCTCACTCCAGACGGGGCCGGCATACATTAGTTGGGTGAGAGTTTTCAGGCAACGCTGGTAGGGTACTTCCAGTTTTTGTTAGTCTAAGATTCACGTCCGTAAGATTGACCAGACAGACGACTGGTACACTCGAAAATTATCAGCAAGGGGGATATCACAAAGGGTCCATGGGCACCTTTTACGAAACATAGACTCCGGCAACGATGTGCATTTGGCAGCAACTTCGGCTCGTGATATTTGCGACTAACTACTTCTTTTGTGTCATTTCCCTTATCAAGGGATGTGCTTCTTCCCGGGCAGAGGTGCAGCTTAAAAACACCGGCCTTTGTGGCACTTGTGGTGGTTAAGCTGACTAACTTAGTGATATTGTCCACCTGAGACTGGATTAATTAAGTGATACCTTGATGATAGTAGGGTGTTGGCGTGAAGCAGTCACGACAGGCTTGTAAAAGCCCTATGGGCAGCCGGGCGACGATGCCGTTCATTTGGCAACGACATCGTCAAGAGGTATCTAAAATGATCCACTTCCTGGGGCTGCGATGAACCACCTTGAAGTTGGCCGGAAACTTTCCCAGGAACGGCGGTCCGATGTCAACTTTTTTTAGCTCCAATGTGCATCAACGGCCGCACGATTCACACCAGGTTCGAACGACGGAGAAAGTGGCCGCTACGGGCGCAGTGGTGTCATGCCAGGCCCTTAGTCGTCCATAATCGCGAAGACGATTTTGGGGCTGCTGGTCTCAATACGAAAATACCACCAGCCGTCACAGTGGTCGAAAACCTTAGGTTACTTCTTCTTCTCTAAGTCGTTGGAGAATACTGCAAGATTCAGAAACTGTAGGCGTCACGGTGACATATTCCACACACCAAAACAGGTAAACAACCTTAAAACAAGCGAGGATTTTACGCGATCTACTGATGCGAAGAGCATTAGTCGTGCAACGATGAAAAAAAATAACTGTCGGAGTAATTAGAGCGATACGTACAGCATGGCAACCGTGGTCACAAAGACGGGGTCTGCATCGGGTTACGCATGTGGTGGCAAAACAAGGAGATGAAAAGTGGAGGTGGATCTAGGTTAAAGTGATGACAGGGGAATCCCTATGTGGCCACCTGGTAGCAAACACAAAGTAGGACGCGAAAAAGTCGAAAAGATGACCTACACTCACTTCCTCCGATTTAAAATCCACGCCGGGGGGCGACAAAACGGCTACACTGAAAATCTGAGGAATATCTGACAGCGGAAGAGGCCCGACGGTTGACATACTCAATGGGCCTAGACCCAGAAGGAGGGAAACATCCATGGGTGACTCGGTCTCTCCAGTAAAGACGAGGTCGACCAATTTTTGGTGCCTCAAAGGGACGTAGTCCGGTGAGAGGAAAGGCTTGAGCGGCGGATAACGAGCCAATTCCAGAGGTATAGCAATCGGCGCGACTGGGATCAGTGCATCTACGGACATGTGATTGGCAGGACCGCAGAACTTGATGCTCTGGGCAACGCCTCGACGCGCTATGAAGGCGGCATTTCGCCGCAAGTGCGTTTGCAAGCGGAGGAAATTAGTCATCCAGTGAGGAGGAGGAGAGAATGATGGAACGCGGACATGACAGTCGCGTAAATCGCGCAAGGAGGTCGACGCAGACGCGTGTGCGTACGAGAGCGCCAGGAGGAGCGTTCACTGACAGATGAGCGGTGAAAATAATAACGAATGCGCGATATAAAAACTAAGTCTAGGCGACGGGGACTGGCGGCCAATAGCGAGCTGAGAATCGGCTGAGGTGTGTGCGCGCACGCGTAGGCGGGTTCAGACTTGGCTAGGCTGTACACACACACACGCGAGCAGGGCAAAGCGGCGGAATGGGCACCGCATCCTAAAGTTCGAGTGAGTGCGAAGCAATGTGGGACGTGTGTGCGTGTATGCACACACACACGCACAAACACTAGTGCGCCCCAGAGAACGACGTATGCACCCTGAGTCAGGATGTCGACGAGGACGTCGATGAGTATATGCATATAATGTGCGTGGGCAGGACGTTAGGAGAGGCGGTGGTGGGTGACAAACCACCACCGCCGCCGCTGCCGGGGTCGATAGGAGGGGTGCTTTGTGTGCTGGTGGCACCAAGTCAGCTGATGGATGCGCAGGTGGTACACACACACACACACACGCCGGCCGGCACGAGGGCAGTCATGTGGTGCTCGACTGTGCACACATGCGCATAAGCACACACGAAACGGAGCAGCAGCTGGAAGAAAGAGGTGGTAGCGTTCGGATTGGAGGAAGTCCTCGAATGTGCGCGCATGTACCGTTAGAGGTATCAGGTCAAAGGCTGACGCACATGTGCTCGCAGTGATTGGGTACGACTCGTTGAGGACCTTAGCGAATACTGACGACGGAACGGGGCTTCCTCCCGCAGGTAACAGACCACTGTAAACATCTGCTCGGCAGATGGGTCATCTAACGCAAAATGGAGGGCGCATGGGAGAGAATCCCAACATGGTCCAGAATTTGACCTTACTCGCCGAGACGCTTATTTGTGCGAGGAATTAGAAGGCTCAGAAGTCTCAGCCTGGAGGGAGAGTGGACGAACAGCGGCGGGATTGTCTTTTCAACACTCGCTGGAGTCGACCGTACCAAAGAAGCCGAATAGTGTTGACGAGTTAATCAACGGACTACAACCAGATCATGAAGTTGGCATAAAGCGGCCGCCGAATTAAGTGATCCTCACCGATTCTGACAAACGAGTGACCACGACCAGATGGACTATAGGATTTACATCATTATCCACTAGTTGGGCAAGTTGAGAAGGTTGTCATTCATCGGTAATACAGGTCTCATAAAGAACAGGCTGGGTTAAATGGTAGAGAAGACGCGACAACCGAGGGATGATATGGATTTGGAGAAGCAGAAAAAAAAACATATTAAACTGATAACTAAAAGGCGGGGGCGGTTACATAACCCATCCGATAAGGACCGCCCAAAACTTTCGTTCGACACCGTCAAGTATGAAATTCAGAAATACAGGGTGGTACTTTGAATCACTCTCGTGGTTTGCAACCCTTGCTAGGTTGCCAAGTCTGTTTTCAATTCCCTTCATACCTTGCCCTCTGTAGTATTTGTTACAATCAAGGCATGGAATCGCTGACGCTGGACTACGGGCAGAGCAAAGGCTCACGGTGTCGATAATGCTCACTTAACACCTTACGGTGGCGAAGCGCACGGAATGCTCAGATAGGGGTACCCGTTTCGACGAAATGATGATGACTCCCGGTGTCAAACAGCAAGAGGTTGGTAACCCCACTCTGGCCTTAAAAGGCGTTGGAACTGCACGGGGCGTAGAGGCCAGATCCTAAGACTGGCATTTTGACTGGCGGCGAGACAGTAGGTTTGGCTGGCTTGTCTATGCCATACTGGTGAATGACGGGTCTGGTTTACTTTTGGAAGATGGACCACTATGTAATGAGAAACGTTGGCGGAATAATGTGCAAGATGGGTCACTGTACCATATCTCAGCGTAAGTCGTCTTGCCTGTGGCATAATCATACAACACGGGTGGATGGAGAGAGCGGGACCAGGGTTGTGCATGCCTCCCTCACTGAAGTCAAATCACACGCCAGCCATCTCAATCGTCGTCCCCCCGGCTAGTGTTCTTTTCCTCAGACACGACAGACGGAATGGGAAGGGGGTGGGGAGGGCAATGATTCCAATGCCGAAGCAGTTGCAAGAGAAGACTGTTCGTACGGAGTGCACTTTGGGAGAGAGCCACTAATGCGCATAGAACACCAAACTGAAAGATGGTTCGCGTCCATTTAAAAAAAGATGGATGAAAACCGCCGCTGATGCTGACATGACATAGGCTCACATTCGAATACCACAAAAAACACAGGACAGAGAGCTCATGAGTACGGTCGAGTACTCTAAGATAAGTCCCAAGTACAAACTTCACGTTAAGTCCAACAAAAGGCAGTTTGAAATCAGTAATTCCAACTTGTTTCGGCAAACAGGCGTTTTAGAATGGCCACTCTACTTGCAAGGGGTATAAAACAATGCACCGGTTCAACAAACAAGAAATGTGAGCATGTAACATGAGTAGGTATAAAAGTTCAAAATCTCGAGTAACAATCGTCTCCAGACAAAACAGAAGGCCAAAACAAGACGAGTGTATACCAAAATAAGTAAATCTTAGGATATAAAGCAGTTATAGTAGATAAATAAAATATAAATTAAAAATAGGCTCAAATACCTTATCAGCGGAAATCGACTTGATATGACGCAGGCAATCCTTGTCAGAAGGAAATTGTGTAACATGCTGAACGAGGACATTGACAACACTAATGTGCCCCTTGCGAAAGGCAGCTATTAAGCAGCTAACTTTACGGTTGTCCTGGCTGTTGACGTCGGCGTGAGCATCGATTAAACTCTGCACCACCTCTAGATGGCCACCTGTGTCGAAGATGAAAAATGCGGGCGGTGAGGTTGGCTTTTCAAACAACTGCTGGTAACCTCCAACAATAACAATCAGAAGGAAACAAGGGCAGTGCAAAGAGAAGATATGATGGTGGCATACCGTTGCAGGCCAGCCAGAGAGACGTTGCACCTTTTTTGTTTCGGGCTTCGACAATGGCGCCACTAAAAACACGGAATAAAAATACCTACTTTATATTTGTAAGTAGAACGATAAACCCCATACGCTGTTAACCGCGCGATATCGGGTGGGAAAAAAGGTTGGGGGGGGGGGGGTTACCAAAAGCCGTCACCCATTGGTGCCTGAGGACACGGAAACGAAACCCATATACGCTGTATACGATCAATGATGCTTACCGTTCCAGCAGCAACTTCACAAACTCCGTGCGTCCCTTGTCCGCAGCGATAGTGAGAGCAGTGTCTCGAGAGCTTAGAACTGGCAGAGCGTTTACATCAGCTCCGTGATCAAGCAGTATTTTGCCCACTTTTACGTGATTGCCAGAAGCGGCCTCCATTAGAGGGGTGAGGCCAGTCTTGGCACGATGCTCTATGTTCGCCTTGCGTTCGACAAGCAACTGCACAACCTCATGTTGACCCTGGAAGCAGGCCAAAGTGAGAGCCGTGTTGCGGTTGGTTTCAATTTGAGCATTAATGTCAGAACCGTGCTCCAGAAGGACTCGAACTGCCGCAGTGAAACCATTCATTGAGGCCAGCATCAGTGGGGAGATGCCGAGCTTGGAGCCAGTTCGAGAGTTTATCTCAGCGCCGTGGCGCAGTAGGAGCTGAATTACGTCGACAAATCCACCGGATGCAGCCAGACTGAGCGGAGTGTAGTCAGAGAAGTTCCTGTGTTCCTTGTTGGCACCGCGGTTAAGCAACTCTTCAGCAATCTGTGTTGGGTGGGAGAGAGAGAAAGCGCAATCAGAAGCAAAGTGGATGGGCATTGCAAACAGTGTACAAAGTGTTGCATAAACAGAAACGCACCTCTAGCCGTCCATGCGAACAGGCAATCGACAACGCCGTGTCCTTGGTCCTCTCAACCTGGGCCTCTATATCGGCGCCGTAGTCAAGCAGCAGCGAGACAATCTGCCGCTGATTGGCGTAAACGGCGGTGTGCAGAGGCGTGTAGGATTTCTTGTCCCGGTGTTCCTTGTCGGCGCCGCGCTCCAGCAGTAGGCGCGCCAAGTCCACAAAACCACCGTTGCAGGCTAGAGTCAGTGCAGACTCCATGCTGGACTCTATGCAAGCGTTAATGTCGACTTGTGGTGGTGATGGAGAGATGGAAGTTGCCGTGGCGCCTCCTGTAGCTGCTGCTGCTACTCCTGTTTCAGGCGGCAAGACACCCGCAGTGGGCAGAATTCCAGGTGCAAGACAAGGCGACGAGGGCAGAGGAAGGTTTATCGGGACTGCGGAGGCATCGCCGACAGCAGTGCCACCAGCGGCCGAGGTCGCCGCTGCGGTAGTTGAGGCTTTTGTCAGTGCTGTGCTGCCGGAAAACAGCGAGGGAAATGAGGGCGGAGGCGCAAGTGTGGGGGTCGTAATCATAGTTTGTGGTATTTGTATTGCTGGTGACGGTTGTTGCTGGTTCAACAGTTCATCATATGCTGAAGACACACACGGGGCAACAGGCGCCTGCGGAACCAGCAGGTGCAGGGAGTTCCGGTCAGTTACGCCGACGGAACCCGGACCGGTGGCCTGCATGGAGGTCGTCGAGCAATGGGCAGATGCACGTTGCTGTTGTTGACATGTCGACGAAGCAATCGCTTGTGCCAGCGAACGTGCCGCCTCAACTGGGCATGTGACCTTGGACGAAACCTTTGCAGAAATGATGAAGGCAGGGATAGGACAGTCAGGCGACACCATAGAGCAGGAAAAGGCAAACAGAGTCGAAAAATACATTACTTCTGACAATAACTGACACCTGAGGCATTGTTGTCACCCCGGACTTTCATTATTAGGCGAGAGGAACCATCTAGGATTACAAGCCTCACTTTCGATAATTCGAGAGGGCTGCGAACGCGAGGTACGTATGACAAACTAAATGTCCAGGAGACTTCTGACATTGCTGGTATTTTACGTCTCTATATAGTGACATTTAAAGTGTCCTCTGATGCACTAACTACCACTCAGTTCTATACAGCAATAAAGAAGGATTCTTACCGTCGATCTGCTATTCTAAAAGTATGGTAGTTCGAATAGACAACCCCCTTCACAGAGAAGGTACTTTTGATGACGTCAATAACGGTAAAGATACACTCAGCATTTACTGTTTATTCGGATTAGAAACCTAACAATGTGTAGACGCGGAAGTGAAACACCAAATACGACCTTCCACAACCGGACACACAGATAACGGTAGTGTCCAGAGTGTGATAATAAAATGAAGCTGTGGAAATTGAATAAGAGAGGTTCTGAGTGGTGAAACAGTCCGCAGCTAAGTCAGCTGTTGAGGCTTAACTGGCAACTCAGCAAAGCTAAGAGTGGCCGGACACGAGAGACAACTCAATTCAACACCAGGGTGGGACTTGAGCAACATTAAACTATGGATTCCATCAAGCCCATCGCGAGCGGTGAAACAGGACTTGAATCACCCTGAGGGAGAATATTATTGTCGCTGTCGATCACTACCGAATCCTTGGAATCAGGCATTTCGTATTTTAAGGACATTTAATGACCAGTCTATCATAGCAAAAATAGACATTCTATAATCGCTCCCCGAAATACCACAGCCCGATCCTATTCAAAACAGCACAGTTGCAAAACTGTACGACAGTCTGATGACGGGAAGATCTGTGCCACGCTACCAAAACGGTTTTTGCACTACCCAAGTGCCGAGAAAGCTTCTGAAGAAATCAGGAGTTATTTTCCGTGTTCGGATCCAGAACCATCAATACTGGCCGGCCCAACAGTGCGCAACAGAAATCTAAACGGCATGACAACGGCATGTAGAGAACTACTGTCCATGAATGTACATACTGGGGGATAATTGCGCATATAAATGAAATTCGCTACACGACAGCACACCTAATCATGATTGCGAAACTGGTTCTACTTGTCTAGTAAGCCAAAGTGGATTCAGTAGATTTATTACCGGATCTTTAGTGGTAATAAGCTGTAACAATACCTGATATTGTCTATAAGTGTCCAGTGCTTCCGATGTGACTAATTCGTCTGTTAGCAAGCTTTGTGGCACAGATGGGGTCGTCGGGGTGACGGAAGAGAGGGTAGTCTTGTAGGCTTCTGAAATTACTGCTTGATCCCGATTTGTCTTAGACAAGGGTAACGGTCGGACGTAGTTGTAGGGCGCAGAGGCGTCGACAAGTTGGGTCGAAATGCTAAAAGCGCTGGATGCAGAAGATGAACACCCAGTCGTTGAAGATGACGAGGACGAAGCGGAAGAATTGGTCCCGATGGCTGAGAATTGTTTGTTATTCACCGATTCTCCAGCACATTCCGTCTCGGCCAAGGACAAGTTGGCATCGCCTGCGGTAACAGAGGTGTAGTCGATTGGTCCACCAGCGAACCCCTCGTGCAGAGAGAGAGCATCCCACTGATTTAAGTCAGATGGTGGAGGGGGCGGAGGTGGTGAAAACAGGTTCTCCGCACCCTGCGGAAATTCAACGACGGCCGTCTCTACTGACGCCGAATCGCCATGTGCTGCTGCGTCAGTCTGTTGAAACAGTTTCTGCTGTTTAACCAGATGTCGCAGAGCAGCGGTTTCAAAGGACGTATTGACAATGGAACAGGCATTAGTTTGGTGATGACCAACTGGCGAGCGTGAAGCCCGAGGGCACATCATGGCTTCAATGCGACGCAGAAGCTCTGCCTTATCGGCTTTCAGGTCTGGCATCAATTCTTGGAACAGCGCCTGTGTTAGCAGAGGACAAAAGGTAGGCTAAGATAAAGATAGGAAGAGCATAAAGGAAAAAAACAGTTTTTTTTAAAAAAGTAAAGTGGGAGTCTATGGGCAGATAGGACGAAAAATGTGCGAAAAAAGGACTCACCAGCAGTTCAGAGCCAAGCTCGTCTGTGTACATGGACGACGACGGGCAGACGCCTCCGACGCTAGTGGACTCGATAGCAGACTGGCTATGATGAGCCTCAATCATGGCACTTGTTTTTTCGCCAGGTTTCAAATTAGTTGGTGCAGATTCCGCCGAGTCACCAGCTGCAGCCAACTCCGAGTTTTTAGGCAACAAGCCGCGCGCACCAGGAGTCTGCGAAAATCGCAAGCCCTTTTGGGGATGGCCCTGCGGATTTGGTGCATGTGTAGCCGCCGCCTGGGCATTCGACGCGGTCGCAGAACCCGAAGAACCACATGAATGGGCCTCTGCTGCAAAGACAAAAAAGAGTATAGTCAAGTGATGTGCATGAGATACAAATGGAAGTGGTGTAGGTAAGGATACTGCCTGCCTGAGCTACATAGAAAGATGCCAAGCGGGAATCGGAAGGCCTACCTGACACAGAGGCTGTGGTAGCTTGATTCTGCTGTTGTTGTTGTTGTTGGGGCTGCTGAGCGTAGGCGGCAGCACCTGCTGCCCAACCGACGGCGTAAGCATTTGCCAAAGCAGCGTTCAGCCTGGAGGGCGCTTGCTGGGTGTTCAGAGCTTGCCTTACAGTCTCCACCGCCGCGGCCGATGGATGGCCGGTACCATGAATAGGGCCAACAACCAACTGGTCTAGAACACCATTTGCTGCAGCCCCGACTGGCAACGGCGGAGGCATCATTCCGACAGCGTTCACAGAAGAACCATTGTGTATTTGCTGAACAGTAAGTTGTTGATTGTTTTGGGGAAGAACGGGAGGAACTAGCGATTGTGAGAGACTTTTTGGAAAATCCAGTATTAGGCGCATGACAGAAGGGCTTCCTGAGCGAGCAGCCTCGATGAGCATGGTGCAACCGTCACTCAATTGGTGCTGAGGGTCAGCTCCGTGTTTAAGGAGGTATTCAACAACCTATAAACGAGAAACAAGCAGGTAAACAAATCGAAGATTTGGGCTGAGAATAGGGCTTGCATTTAGAAACACAACTTACGTTTATGTGACCACCATTACAGGCCAGGGAAAGAGCAGTTGCGTCGTTTCTGCTAGTTGTTTGGTTGACAGGGACTCCCCATTCAACAAATAGTTGGACGACCTCCAAATGCCCAGCTCTGGCTGCCTTCATCAGAGGAGTTTTGCAGCCTTCAACGAGGGCTCCGAATACCGCCCTCCAATTCAGCAACTCCTTGCATACCTTGACATGACCATTTTCGGCGGCATAATGAAGGGCTGTGTCTCCAGTGGCAGTCATGGCGTTCACGTTTGCTCCGCGTTGAAGAAGGCGGCGGACAAGTTCCAGGTGGCCTTCCTGAGCGGCCTCCATGAGGGGTGTTGAGCAACCAGCACTACCGACCTCGATGTCGGCGTTAGAATTGAGGAGCATGTCGCAGACCTCAATAAAACCTCCACATGCCGCTAGAGTCAGGGCGGTTTCCTGGGTTTCGTCGGTCTTTGCATTCACGTCGGCACCTACACATAAATTGCAATAAAAAGCGTTCGTAAGTAGGAGTCGTGACAAAGCTGGTCACAAGGCCCAGCTGGGACGAAACGTGTTCGAAGTGCGATGAGAACGCTAAACTTTATAAATGGCTTTCTGGGGTTGACTGTTGAAAATGACAGAAAGAGGGATTTGCCTCGACAGAACTTACCAGCAGCGAGAAGCAACGCGACCGTCTCCTCGTGACCCTCTCTAGCTGCTTCCATAAGAGGGGTATACCCTTCGTCGTTCACTTCTTCGATGTCCGCCTCGTAGCCGAGTAAAAGGTGAGCAAGCTCCGTGTGACCGCCACAAGCCGCCAAGGTTAACGGTGACTCAAAGCTGTCTTGGGGAATGTTTACGTTAGCCCCATGAGCTAGGAGAAGCCTTGCGACTTCTACGTGCCCCTCCATCGCCGCCTCCATTAGAGGGGTGTGCATTTCATCGGTTCGATGCTCGTGATCGGCCCCGTTCTCTAGGAGGAAATTGACCATGTCGGCGTGTCCCTAAAGATATTAAAACGTGTTATTTTTTGGTATGTTCGACAGAGACGCCAATAAAGAGGAACAAAAGTACCTTGTAACTTGCAAGGGTCAGTGCGGATTCCTTAAACTCGGTAGAATAAGTGTTAATGTAGGCGCCGTGTTCAATGAGGCACCGGGCAACTTCAATGTGCCCGTTGCTTGCAGCCTCCATAAGGGGAGTGTGGCCATTCTCATTTTGGACCTCCAAAGGACTTTTGTATTGTAGCAAGAGCCTCACGCAATCGAGGTGACCGTTTGTTGCGGCGTAGTGAAGTGCAGTATAGCCATTGCTGGACACCTGTGAAACGGACGCACCGTACTGCAGCAGGAGCCTGACAACATCGGTGTGCCCATCTTTCGCAGCTTCAATCAGTGGAACGGACTCGACTTTCTTCTCCTTGGGGTTCGGATCCGCCTTAGATATGCAAACATAAGGAAGTGAAAGGACTTACGCCCCGTTGGAGGAGGAGTTCAACTATGGGGACCGCATTTTTAGACACAGCGCAAGCGAGCACAGTCTCCCCGTCGATTCCAATTTCATTAACATCACACTCGCCAGATGACAAAAACAGTTTGACAGCTTCCTCGTCGCCACTAAGGCATGCCTCGCTCAGCGAGATTGTCCGTCTGAAAAAGAGATGGTAAACCATATGGAAAACTTACCCATGCTCATCAGCTATCGATGGGATGAGGACTTCTTTGCTTATCTCATTCCAAACTTCGGGATCTGTTATGGGACGACCGTCCTTCAAAAACATGTTTTCGATACGAGCGGCCTGAAGAAATTTACGCAAGTTCCGGTTGGTTTCAGGGCAAATTTCGGTCACACTGTCGTCAAACTAAAAAAAGGCATCGTTAGTTGAGATGCACACAAAACCAATCCGACAAAAATCGATCTTTGATAATCAAAGGTATAAGAGAGAATTTGATAGATAGGAAGGAAAATCCTGAAACCCTATCACTTTTGTCGGAATTATCGGCTCGACGATTCGCCTAAGTAAAAGTAAAAGCTTAAACCTAAATGAAGGAGACAGGCGTGTTGTGCAAGACCTGGTGACAAGAATGTGTGCTTTTGTTGGAAACTCAAGGCAGGGATGACATAAGTAGTGGGGCGGCCGAATGCCCATAGAGGGAAGTTGATGAACATTTCAGCAGACTGCGACCGCGGCCAGCACATGCGAGACCAGCAAATTTTTTCGTAAGCATAGAACACAAATACCGGGCTCCACTTTACGGTGTAGAGGTTGTTTTGTTGGGAAGTCTTGGTTTAGAGATAATAATGTGGTTTCCAAATGATATTTTGGAAAAGGCCAAATAGTGATCAACATTATCATGCTCCTCAAAAACGGTTTTGCGAAGTCGTCGGCGATACGGCGAACAATAGCAGGAAATTCCATGTTCGTGATGAGGAACAGGACGAGCGCATGGCCTCGATAGTAAGTTGTGAAGACTAGGAATGGAACTTGAGGATGGTGTATGGTTGTGTTTGAAATACGCAAACAGAAAAGGTGGTGAGTAAACTACGAGCGTAAGTTACCAACAAGTACAGACCAACCCCTGCCCCTAAAACGGGCCACGCGGTAGATGCGCTGGGCCAACGGGCTAGACCGGAGCTCGGCATGCGGTATCGGGAATGCGCACCCATAACAAATGACAACATTGGGGGTGTGGTGGCAAGCCTGATTGAGGGCGCGCGCTGTGCCAAATGGGATCCGCGCCACCCCACTATTCTCTTGTCAGTGTACGTCGTGGGCCGGGAGGTGTGGATTTCTCGCCGTGTCAGCATCTGCGCCATCTCCCGCCCCTGATCTTCTTGACTCCATCTTGAAACCGGGCCCGGGTGGGGAGGAAGGGCGTGCGGTAAGTGCATCACAGGTCTACTACTAATATACGTGTAAGTCACCGCCCATGCTTTCTCTCTGGTTTGGGGCACACGGTAGACATCGTCGGTCACGACGGTCGAACCGCCGTGTCGTGTATAGACCGACTCAGATTTAAGCCGTTTTTTGCGTGTGGGTTGACAACATAAACGTCAAAGAAGGCGCCATATATGAGCCATAGTCTTACGAGTTATGCAATGAGAAAATGCCTGTAGACATTAAAGTTAACTTCTGTTTAGTTCGATGCAACTTGGATCATGTCTGGTCTAACAAATCGATTTTCGTGATGACTGGAGGTAATAAGGCACACGCGAATCTTTCAGTGCCGTCCAGATTGTTTATCTAGCACGTCAGATCGACGGAACCTAACTGCGGGGTGGCGAGGTGACGAGAATTTATTAGGTAATGACGGTTCATGATCACCATGGGCTTTGCGGCATTTCACAGGGTAGTTTGTCGTCAAATCCTAGCAGTGCCACTAGTGGTTCATTCATCAGATGTGTGATTCCGCTCGCTGGCGAATGAAGCCTCAAATCCCGACCAGGCGGTTTGGAATTGATCCACTGCAGCAGATACACAGGACGGTGGAAACCATTTAGCCAGTAACAAGGCGTACAACATATGAGACTGGATGCAAAGTGTCGTGGAACATCTGCTTTAGCAAAGTCCAGCTCGGGATCGAAGGGCAGACATGATTTGTGGTGGACAATTTTTACAATCGCGTTTGTCGTAGAGTTCCAGAATGGGACGAGTTAGAAATATCTTTAAGATATGAGGCGCAATGCCGATGTGTGGGCTACGGCCAACAGAAAGGGAACAAAAACGTAGGCTCTGCATCAAACTATCTACCGCAGGTCTTCTGGGAAATTGCGTACATCTTCCTGCCACCTAACACAGGCAATAAGTCAACTAAAAAGGTGAATATAAGGAACAATTGAATTAGCGAATGTCAGTTGATGCGCTGAAATATTGAATGTGTAAAATGGATACCTGAAAGTTCTGAAGATCATGGATATCCATTCATTCGGTCACGCGTGCCAAGACCCGGAGAAGCAAACCGCCACTTGTTGAAAATGCCGCCCTGTTGTTTTAACAAACTAAAATGCACCCTTCGTAGACCTCCCCATCATACGTCACATACAGGACTAGATATCCTACTAAAGTGACCTTCTAACAAGGTTTAACCAGCAAAAAATAAGCTATTTAACCCTTTTTCTCGGTGTAACCAGTTCGTCTAAAAAAGACGATGGCTGTTACGTCACGTTTTGGCCGAGGCTTTGACAATCTTGGATCTAGAGTCCTTAAGTCTCCAGCAACTAGAGACACTGACTCTTTAAACGGTCCTGATTGACGGGCTCGAGAACCACGTGCCAACTTGACACACGGAGCTGCGATAATATTAAACACAAACTGAACTCTGGGGAGTTCAGCAGTCTGCAACTTTGGGCATGAAGGAGGAGATGGTTGAATGCTTCTATAGTAATATGGATAACTAGGTATATTCCTTGAACATTTTCTCGTCCATTTGAACCCTGGCTGGGCCGCGGATGTTTTCAGGAGATCAAGAAATAATAGGATCAAAGGCAGGTTCGCATGACGTAAACTTTCGCCAATTTCATCCTCAGTAAAAAAAAAACAGGAAATTGACATTTAGCTGTGCATAAACGAAATGAGAAACCTACGTGAAAGATACCAAAGTAAGATAAAGTGAGAAAGAGAGCCGCTACAATCACACTAGCAAACGAATAAATAGAAAGAAAATATCCTAGTTTGTATAAGGAAAACAGAAACAGTAACAAACAAAAGGAAACACAGAAGAAAGATGTCAAGGTGTGCATCTGCTGGCTAAAAGGCATACAAAGTAATTTGTATTTCTGATATGCCATAAAGCTAATTCGAACTAGTTCTTGTTTCATATCATGGCATTTTCCATGACATTTGTTATATCGGTGGACCCTAGTACCTTAGGATCATTTAGCCACATGGGAAGCTGAAAATCTTCTTAAGCATATATAAGTATGAGTAATCACGAAATTCCGGCAACTAGCTCTCCCGAGGTTATTGAATACATAAATAGGAGAGGCCGGTCAACGGCTAGTGTGCAGTCTGGTCTTCTGAACCTTGCATGGACTTTCTTGCCCAGTTGGTAATGATAATAATAATAATAATAATAATAATAATAATAATAATAATAATAATAATAGCATTTAATGTCCGTTTACAGGCCTTGTCAGGGGAAGATTAAATACAAATCCAGCCAACATCGGAAAAAACTGCTGACAAAAAATAAAGAGGTTGGTGGTTTTGTGTAGTTTGGAGGGTTCCGGAGAAAAAGCTGCTGCCCATGAAATTATGAGTGTGATTATAAGTGCAATTATAAGTGTACTTAATGCCAGTTTACATGCTTTGTCAAAGAATGATACAGCACGCTTAGGGATGCGAGCGAAGAAAACCCTGAGTTCTAGTAGATTTTCAGAGGGAAAACAGGCTTAATTTCTGAAGTGCCACATTTGCAGTCGAAAGCTGAGGGAGGTGAAGAGAAGAAGCCGACGAATTCGGCAACCCAGAATACGAAAAAAACATATGCAAACACAGCTTGTGTAGCCATATCAAATGCTGAAACTGCGGACGGCTCGTTCAAGGAACTAGACAAAGTTGGGTGCCAGTCTCCTGGGCAAGAGAGAGGCCAGCGAAAGCAAAATCAGAGGACATACAAACATCCCAGGACGGTCCGAAAAAACGATGGCCGCTTACATGCACGCAGAACAGCTGAGGAAGACGGTCAGGAGCCCTACGAAGGACCGCCGGAGGCTCCCACTTATGTCGAACAACAAAGATATCGGAACGCCTTGTGGGCAGAAAGCAAGCCAGAACATTCAAGAGAAGGCTTGGAACGAAACTGAGGTTAGCTTTTCGACGAACAAAACGGAAACGCAGAAGGAAGTGCTATCGATACGAAGATGAACGAATCGTACGCGGATCTCAGCTTCGCTAGCCCAATAGCTAGTTCATCTGGAGCCAGCGCAACAAGTACACTGACAAAGAACGCTCAGTCAGTTAAAAGATGTGTATCAACAACGGACGCTAGATTCAGTCGCAAGCAAAATGTAATAATGAGTTCTTTCATAAATCTTAAACAAATATTTTAATAAGGGGCGCCCCAGAGTGCACGTCCTGCGTTCCAAAGGAACGAGTGACGCACGACCTAGACCTTCTTTCTCAATACGCCAGTGTTATCCTGAAGGATAAGGGAAATGTTCACCGTTAAAAAACCTTTCCGGCTAGGCAAAGTGGACCCGGATCGTGACCTAAAAACATCCCCAAGACCCCTGAAAGTTATTTTAGAAAACAAAGCCCAAGCAGCGCTTCTGTTAGAAAGTAGAACGACCTTAAGCAACTCGCACAAAGAAGTGTTTTTTTCAACCAGACTACGAACCGAGGGAAAGACTGAAAATGAGAGAAGTGAGACCAGAATTGAAGGAGATAATTGGCAGAGGAGAGAAAGGGCTGAAGATCAAAAATGGAAAAATAGTCCAGACAAAGGGGTCTCTCCTGTGGTCAGAACCTGTCACAATGAAGGCCGGGCTTCTCCAACGAAACAGTAATTGAAGGTTATCTCCGCGAATGTGCAAAGCCTCTTCAACAAACTAGACGAACTAAGAGGCTTAGTTCATGAAAGTAAGCTAGACATTAAGGCATTCACGGAAACGTGGCTCACTGAAGATATCGCAGATTCAGAAATATCATTGAGTTACAGATGGGATTTGGGATCTGAATATCACTATTTCCGCGGCAGTCACGAACTCGAGCTTGAAAATGAGGTAAAGGACCTTGGTGTGTGGATGACGTCCACTCTCAAGCCCTCGTCTCACTGCGGCAAGGTGTTAATAACTATCGCGGCGGGCACAAAACGCCGTCTTTAGCAAAGTTTCTTGAAAGGATTATTTTCAATGAAAGTCTTGACTTCTGTCTAGCTAATCGGCTTCTGAGATCTAGCCAGCATGGATTTTTACCTGAACGATCCTGCGAAACTTGTCACATGGCATTACTTAATCTAATCACTTCCCTTCGTAATGAACAGCAGTCAGTGGTAGTTATCTACTTTGATCTTAGCAAAGCCTTCGACAATGTGCCCCATGGACGTCTTTTAGTAAAATTGGAAGCTCTCGGCATCCGGCCGCCTCTACTCGACTTCATCAGGTCCTATCTGTCCAACCGATATCAGAAAGTCATGGTCGGTAATAGCTACTCGACACCTCACTCGATCACGAGTGGCGTACTTCAAGGAACGGTTCTGGGTCCGCCACTCTTCCTTCTGTACATCAATGATATTTCGACTGAACACGGAAATTCGCAAACTTTTATTTATGCCGATGACCTCAAGTGTGTTTAATCATATTCTAAGGACACCGCAAACGTTTGTGTTGAGAAAATTAATGCCGATTTACTACGCTTTAGCAGATGATGTTCAACATGGCAGGTGGAGTTTTCATCATCCAAGTGTAGTTTCATGTCCTTTGGTCCTGCCAAACTTCCTGGTCCCATAGTTTTTCAGAACAACCCACTCACAGAATGCCTGACCATAAAGGACCTAGGTCTAAGTTATACAAATAAGCTTGCTTTATCACCTCATGCAGATAGAATCTCTGCCAAAGCCGCGCAGATATGTGGATTCATATCACATAACTTTTTCCTTCCGGAAATGAAGCTAAGACTTTATCAAATGTTTGTTCTTCCAGTCCTCGAATACTGCTGTCCTTTCTTTGGTTTAATGAACGCCTGCGACCGCTATAAGATCGAAAATGTTCAGAGAGTTTTCACCCGGAAAC